GAACATTCTATAGATATTGAAACGATGTGACTTTCTATACTTAATAGCTTCAAAAACAGTGAAGCAATAATTTAATAAGCAATAAGAAGAAACTGACAGCAATATGTTTTGCCTCAATGATCTGTTTGAAAAATTTGGTCATGTTTAGGGCAGAAATGCGATTCAACACAAGCTTGTGATAACTGCATTTCAAATCAAATACAAAAAACATTTATACAGAAAGCCAAAAACAAAAAAACAAACAACAAAAAAACAAACAAGCAAACACAATGCCGTTGATATAAGTGAGGTAAATAATAAAAGTTTTAGCTGTATAAAAACTGTAGTAGTTGATAATTCAAAGCAATAGCCACGAAACACATTATATTATAAATCATAATTTAGTTGGAATTGTATTTTGTCATCATTTAAAAATTCAGTACAGTAACGGATAATGCTAAATTTGTGTAACCTTCTAAAAGGAGTTTTTCCAGTTCAAATACTGCTTCCACGTTATTCTCAACCTGTTGAATGATATTGAAAATGTTATCTCCTACGTACTCTGATACTGAAGACAATAAGAGTAACTACTACCTCATGCATGAAGATGTTATCGAGGTCATGCGGCGAGTATATGGATTCAACGAACCAGCTTTCCGGTGTGTCCATGTTCAACGTCAATAAAGATTTTTCAGGAAGATTTGTAAAAATAGCGGAATTGCTTAGCAGTTCTCCGTCATCATCAAAATAAAGCTCGCGATCCAACACAAACTTGTAATAACTGCATTTCAAATGTGAGAATCAATGAATCAAGCAGTTTCTCCACCAAATCAACGACAAAAAAACAACATTTGCCAGAAAGCCGATTCAAAAAAATATCAATAAGTTCTATGTATCAATAAATGAAACTCTTTATTCAATATTTAAACTTTTAACTTCAAAGCTATTCAGTAGAAAAACAATGTAAAGAAACGCTAATTATGTACCTTTTCAATGGCAATTCTGAAAGTTTTTCCTTTGAATTGAAAAAGATTTGAGTTTGGCAATTTATAAACTGACACAAAACCTGTAGTGATTTTTTGAACAATTAAATTAGTTACAATTTGCAATTTTTTTGTTGCACATCATTTATGAACCATGATGATTTGAGAAAGTTTCTGTGCGATTCTCGATGTTGGATCGATAATCGCAATTAGATTAAACGACGGGCCCTCTTCGTTGGCAGCCATCTTCAGCACGCTTGCGGACTGTTTCGGCAGTTGCACCTGTTTCCTTCCCTCCTTCATTCCATTCAGTCCAAACAAAGTCTCCAGTCTCATGGCCAACTCTGAAGATCTTTTAACAAAGTTTAAAATTAACATCGCTGATTGAATGCAATAAAAAGGTATAAAAAACCATCTTAAATTTACTTTAACTCATCAATGTTCAAATTTTTTAGATGGTTGCTGATTTTTTCACCAAATGACGAATACGAGAACTTCTCCAAAAGATCAAAATCTTGTTCAACAAATGAGAATGTTTTACTGAGTGGACCAAAAACCTAAAATAAAGTTCAAAAATACATTCCAATGATTGTAACTAAGTGAGGAATCAATTGACAAAATAAATAATTAATAACATAGAATCTCAAAAACATAAAATGTGTTAAAAAGTTTGTAAGAGATTAGGGCAGGCCTGCCTGAAGGTAGAAGAGTTTTGGGATCCAACAGCTAAAAAGGACAGTTGGGTGCTGGATGCCATCAATTTGGCGCAATCCGAAATCTCCAGAGATTTACAAATGCATGCAGTTTATTTCAATTTTAGCTGCTAACAAGGTTTTCCACATTTTATATCGTCCTACACACGCATTAATATTAAAGCGTGAATAGAGGTGCTCTACGAATTTTCATTAAAAAAAAAACAATAAAAATAACTATTATTTAGAAATGCTGCAGATTAAAAAGTTGAAACCTTTCCGTTGGCAATAACTCCACTGGCAGAAGGTCCAAATTTCAAAACTTGATGACAAAATTGACGATGCGAATGAACAGTTGGAATGACCGAGTTTAAATTCTCCACAAATAAATCCATTTCCATATTCTAAAAAATGTTTTTACTCGTATAAATTTTGCCAATGACAGAAACATTTGAAAAATTAGGACTGATAGGTGTCATAACATAATTGCATATTAATTACATGTTTATCGATAACTCGACTTATTTTCTAAATTCTCCACATATAATAATAATAGTAATAATAATAATAATATATGGAGATGCATTTATATATAACTGTATCAAGAACCACAAAAGATGAAAATATAAAATGCAACATTATAAACGTACTCCAACAGCAAAATTACTCAATGATTTTTCACGATTTTTCAGCATTTCAACATTTTCCTCTTTCAAGATTTTGTTGATAAAATTCTTGGCAACATTAAGTTTGAGTGTGCTGATGGCCAGCTGAACAGCTAGGACCAGTTCAACATCTTCAGCACTATCCCAACTGTCAATGTTGTGAATTAAGCCGAGTCTCAGTTTGTTTGTGTGTTTCTATTCAAAATTAAAAGAAAGAAATTATTTTAAAATAACCAGCGTTACAATTAACGCAATTGAATAATTGAATAACAATTCAGAAACTGTGAATAACAACAAATTCTGCCTCTTTCACTGTGTTTAAAGTTAAGTTAGCGAATTACATTTGAATGTAATCGTGTTCTACTACAAACTTTCATTTCAATATCTACCGTGCATTGTTTGACAGTTGTAAAAGTTTGCACAGTTACAAAACATTTACGAGCTTATCAGCTAATCTCACGAAGCAGGTGCTTAACATTTTTGAACTAAACCAAAAAAATTTCCTCATTCTCAACAGAATGTTATTGATGTTCAATGCATAAGCAAATAAGAACATGAACAATTTAGAACGAGCTGATTTTAACTTTTAATAAATGATTTTATTTCATTGATACAAAAAAAAAATAAATGAAACAGACCAAATGTTTCAGGGCCGAGTTGAACAACGATCTGCCTTCAGGAAATCTCAGATCGGCGACAATCCATATAGTTAAAGGTCTGTATATTAATTCATCTGGAAGACAGAAAATTAATAGATTAATTAATATTTATTTAACTATGAAATTCTTCTGAATTAATCCTAAAATCAAGTATGGAGTCCACATGAGGTAACTCTGCTACAAAATCCTGTATCAAATACGCGACGATGAGATCCAGTGAGACTGAACAGAAATCAACTTTAAAGATTGGGCATGAAAATAAATGACTGAAAACAAGAATAAATGCTCGTTGCAAGAAAATACGCACCACAGCCAAAAATTTTAATTGCTGGAAAAACTGAGATTGTTAAAAGTTTCAAAGTTTTATTTTGGAAATTAAATCAATGCAGGGAAAAGTGTAGGCAAAAATAGTAAAAAAAAAATTGGTAGCAGGATCAATACTTCAGAACCTACGTACAAATAACAAAATCTTGAAAAAACACGACACTGCAAAGGGAGTCAAGCTCAAAATGCCTAATCTTTTTACATTTCAGGCAGAGACATGTGAATCAGAGTAGCAGTCAGTCATTCCAAACATAGCTACAAGTCTGGATACTGTAGAATAGAACGTATCTGTTTGTGAAAAATGCTGAAAATAAATTACGATCATATATCAAATATAACTATTAGACAAAGAACTTGTCAATCTTCAATAAGCAATTTAACTAAGATATGAAAACTTAAGTGAAGTGGATTCATTTGATTTGACCAATGAATGATGATGAGATTAATTTCAAACAAAGGTTACAACAGTAGAAACAACAAATTACAGGATACTTCAAACCATGGTTACAACAGTAGCAGCAACGATATGCATACTTATTTAATTCATGAAAAGCTTTAACTTAAAGTTCTTAGTATTATTTTTTTTAAATAATTAAAAATTATTTTTCAAAAATGAACTGCCGATGAATCTGGATAGAAATTATAGTTTTGGCGTTTTATCATTAAAGTACAATAACATTTGTAGATATTTGCTCAGAATGAAAAATTAAATTTATTACATATAGAAAAAATTGTTACGTAATAAATCTCGAAACCCTCCCACCACAAACACCCCCACCACCACCACCACCACCACACAACCACCACCACTACCACCACCACTCCGTAACAAACACCTCCCCACAGCGTCCGTTACGAAATATTTGAACGTCCCATACATAACATATCAACGCGAAACAAACCATTTTTGAACAGGTAGCTGAAATCTGAGGCCACGGCGACGTTATTATCTGCGGAAACAAAACGAGATTTCGTTCAAAAGTTGCACTTCCAATAAGAAGTTTAGGAAATCATAAAAAATAGCAATCTTTACTTGATTGAGTGAGGTCGATGTAAACGTTGTTCTCACTGAATATTTGGGAATTTATTCGAGGCATTATGTTTTTCTGTCA